AGTTTATTTTGTCAGATATTAGAATTGCTACACCTGCTTTTTTCTTAGTACCATTCTGAATTAATATTTTTTTTCATCCTTTCACCTTAAGGCAGACAATAAAAAGATGGGTTTTGATTCTTAATCCATTCAACTAGTCTGTATCTTTTGCCTGAGGAGTTCAGTCCATTGATATTTAAAGTTATTAATGAAAGATGTGTATTGAATCCTGTCATTTTTATTTCTGTTCACATTCTTGATATAGCTGTGCATTTCCACAGTTATACCTTCATTGAATTTCTTGCTGTCACCCCTCGTTCCTTTCTTCAGCTCTTTGTATTGGTTCAAGAACACTCTGAAGGGCTGTTTTTGTGGACATGAATTCTTTCAGCCTATTTATGTTATGGAAGAGTTTTCTTTCCCCTTCAACGATGATAGACATTTTGGCTGGGTAAAGTAATCTGGGTTGGCATCTGTGGTCATTTAGAACTGGGAATACTTTGGTCCAGGCTCTTCTGGCTTTCATAGTTTACACTCAAAAGTCAGGTGTAATCCTGATGGGTTTTTTCTTTATATGTGACTTCTTTTTCTTTTGCAGCTTTCAGTATTCTCTTCGTTCTGAATGTTTAGTCTTTTTACTATGATGTGCTCTGGAGAGTTTCTTTTCTGGTCCTGTCTATTTGGTGTTCTATATGCTTCTTGTATTTGTATGGGCATGTCTTTTTTTTATTTTGGGAAATTTTCTTCTACAATCCTGTTGAAGATCTGTTCCATACCATTATCTTGAAATTGTTCTCCTTCCTGTATGCCTTTGATTCCTGTTTGTTTGTTTTTTTTTTCATAGTGTCACACAATTCTTGCATATTCCATTCTTGTGTTTTCTTAAATTTTTCATAATCTTTGCTTGAGTGGTCTAATTCATCCACTTTTATCTTCCAGTTTTGATACCCTGTTTTCATTCATCCTATTGGCAAGGCTTTGTGCTGGATAGCTTTAGTGTCAACTTGACACACCTGCATTGAGGGAGCCTCCATTGAACTGGCCTGTGGCCATGTCTGTGGGGCATCTTCTTGATTGTTGTGTGATGTGGGAGGGCCCAGCCCACTGTGGGTGATGCCACCCCTGGGTAGGTGGGCCTGTGTTGCATAGAAAACAGGCTGAGCAGGGGCCAGGGGAGCAAGCCAATAAGCAGTGTTCCTCCATGGCCTGTGCTCCAGCTCCTGCTTCCAGGTTCCTGCCCTGAGTCCCTACCTTGGGCACCCTGATGAACTGTGACCCAGGAGATGTAAGAGAAATAAACCGTTTCCTCCCCAAGTTGGTATTGGTCAGAGTATTTTGTCACAGCAATGGAGAAACAAACTAGGACAGGCTTTCTTCTGTCGTTTCTATTTGGGTTACTGCATGTTTCACTTCATTCTTCATTTCAGCCTGAGTAGTCTTCAATACTTCTAACACTTCTGAATTCTTTCAGAAGTTTATCCCTATCTTCCTTCAGTTCTTTGATTTCTTTGTGTGTTCTTAAAATTCACTGAATTCTTTTATCATGTTTATAATTGTTCGTTTAAGTTCCATGTCCTGTGTTATCTCTAGGGAGTTCTCATTGTACTCCTCTAAAGGACTATTGGTACTTGGTGGGGATAAATTATTTTGGTTTTTTTATGTTACTATTTTTTTCTCAGTGACTTCGACATGTGAATTTCTTTCATAGTTCTGATTCTTCTGTGAGACTCAAGCCTTCCTTTGTTGAGTTTAGATCTGCTTCTTTTTGTAAACTATGTGCCTTTGTGGTTTATTTGTTGGGCATGAAAAGCTGGGTGGTCCAGGCTTCAGGTTCTCTCTTTTGATTTTATGTTGGAGTGGCCTAATTACCTGTCTTCAGGAGTTCCCACAGTGGCCCAAGTGAGATGAGGCTTAGATGCTCTCAGGCTCTCTCCTAAGGTCTGGGTCCCTCCAGGAAAGATGCTGCCCTCAGGAATTTGGAGGCTGGGCTGGCCTGGGAGTAGGGCCCAGGAAAGATGCTGGTCTCAGAAAGCTGGTGGCTCTGCCACCCAGGGAAGTAAAGGGAGGTGAGAGTGGGACCAGGCCCAGAGGGTTCCTGGGAACCACAGGGAGGAACTGGGTTGCTCCGGATGCAAAGGATCAGGAAGCAGTGGTGGCTCTGGGCCGCTAGGTTAGCCCTTGTGTCTGGAGTGCTAAGACAAGAAATAAGCCTGTACCCAGGCTAGGAAGAGAGATGGGGCTGGGGAGCTAGGAGAGTCAAAGAGACTGGGCAAGTAAAGGCGCTGTGGGTAGGCTAGACTTACTCAGTGAAGGTGCTCGCACCAGGACGCTGGAGGCTGTAAAGCCCAGGAAGCAAAGGGACTTCTCATTTTTTCGGTCTATTAAATATATAATTTTTTTAATGTGTATAAGTGTATTGCCTACATGTATGTGAGTGCACCCATGTCAAGCAATGCCACGAAGATCAGAAGAGGGCTTCTCATTTTCCTGGAACTGGACTTAAGGACGGTTCGTGGCCATCATGTGGGTGCTGGGAATCGAACCGGGTCTTCTGCAAGAGCAGTCAGTGCTCTCAACTGCTGAACCATCTCTCCAGCCCCATGCAGAAGCTTCTTAATGCCACGTAATCTCTTAAAACAATTCTTGGTATTATTTCCTAAGCTGTTGTGGTACTCTTCAAACAGTCCTTGCCTATGCCTATATCTTGAGGTATTTTTTGTATTTTTTTGTCTAATAATTTCAGATACTAAAGTCCTTGATTCATTTTTAATTGATTTTTGTACATGGTATGAGACAGAATCTAGTTTCATTCTACTACTTGTTGATACTCAGTTTTCCTAGCACCAATTGTTGAAGAAGTATTTTTTTCTCCAAAGTATGTACTTGGGACTTTTGACCAAAATCAGGAATCTGCAGATGTGTGGGTTTATTTCCTTATTTTATTCCTTATTCCAGACTATTGATCTACACGTCTTTTTTGTGCCACTATCATGCTGTTTTTTGTTACTGGGGCTAAGTAGCAAAACTTGAAATAAAATAATGTGATATCTCTAGCATTGTTCTTATTGCTCAGGATTGTTTTAGCTATTCAGGGTCTTTTGTGCTTCCATATTAATTTTAGAATTTTTTTTCTAGTTCTTTGAAGAATGTCATTGGAATTTTCATGGGGATTGCATTGAATATGTAGATGATTATTGGATCATTTTTCACTACATTAATTCTGCTGATCAATGAGCATGGGAGGTTGTTGTTGTTTTTTTTCTATCTTCTAATGTCTTCAATTTCTTTAGTGCTTTAAAGTCTTCATTGTAGAGATCTTTGACTTTCTTACTTGTGTATTACTAAGTGATTTTTTTAAGCTATTGCAAATAAGATTGTTTCCCTTATATTTTTCTCAGTGGTTATTAATGGTATATTTTTAAAGCTTTCAATTTTTTAATGTTAATTTTGTATGCTGCTGGTTTGCCTAAAGTGTTTATCAGTTCTGAGTTTCCTGTTAAGTTTTATGTACTCTTTTGTATGGGATCACATAATCTGTAAATAGGAATCACTTTACTTCTTCCTTTCCTACTTGTGTCTTTTTATTTCTTTTGCCTTATTGTTGTATTTGACTTCAAAAACTTCATTGAGTAACAGTGGACAGAGCTGACACCCTTGTTGCATTCCTGATTTTACAGTAAATGCTCTAAATTTACTATAATGTTGGTTATAGGTTTGTCATACATAGCTTTTATTCTTGGATATGATCCTTGAATTCCTGCTTTCTTCTGGCCTTTTTTCATGAAGGGATATTGAACTTTCTCAAAGGCCTTTCTGCATCTATTGAGAGGATTGCATGATTTCTGCTCTTGAGTATATTAATGTGATATATTACATTTGTTGATTTACATATTTGACCATGCTTGTATTTCTAAATGAAATTCACTTGGTCATATTGAATGATCAAGTTTGCAAGTATTTCATCGAGAATTTTTGCATCCTTTCTCATCAGAGAAATTAATGTATAATTTTCTCTTTTGGTATGTCTTTATCTGGTTTTAGTATCAGGATAATTACTGACTTTGTAAAATGAATTTAATAGCATTCTTTCCCATTCTGTTTTAGCCAATAGTTTGGGAAGCATTCCCATTAGTTCTGTAAGTGTCTAATAGAATTCAGCAGTGAATAATTTTCCATCTTACCTTTTCTTTTTTTTTTTTTTTTTTTTTTTTGGTCTTTTTGAGACAGGGTCTCTCTGTAGCCCCAGCTGGCCTGGAACTCGCTATGTAGACCAGGCTGGCCCTGAACTCACAGAGATCTGCCTGCCTCTGCCTCCTGAGTGCTGGGACTAAAGGCGTGTGCCACCACTCCCGGCTCCATCTTACCTTTTTTAATTAAGACAATTTTTATTACTGGTATATTCTTATTTCTTATTACAGATCTAATTTAATCTCCTGATTTAATTGTGGAAGCTCATGTCTAGAAATTTATTCACTTTTTTCTAGATTTTCCAATTTATTGGAACATAGATTTTCAAAGTATGCTATAATGAGCATAAATTTCACTGGCATTATGCCTTTCTTTTAAACTCTAATTTTTCTATTGATTTAGACCTTCTTTCTCTTTTGGTTAGTTTGATTATGAGTTTGGCTTCAATATTTTTTAACATTTTTATACAATGAATCTTGATGTGAAGAGAAATTTGAAAGAAATATCACATTGGTTTTCTAAATGAACAATAGCAGTTCAGTTTGTTTAGCCTTGATCAAGATTGTTAAATGCATCTGCCTTGTATTACAAACATTTTGAAACAATATTACTCATTTTTGTTTGAAAAAAAAACACACACACACAGTTCCTCTGAAGAGATAGCACGTTCCCGTGAAATGATTCAGAAACTTCAAACTGTCTTGGAATCAGAGAGAGAGAACTGTGGCTTTGTCAGTGAACAACGGCTAAAACTTCAGCAAGAAAATGAACGGCTACAGAAGGAGACTGAGGATTTAAGAAAGAGTGCTCTGGAGGCCCAGAAAAAAGCCAAATTAAAGGTATTTTTAAATGTATTCTTGAGAAAATCAAAGTAGAGAGAGTATTTATGAGACTAGTAAAACATTTTGAAGTTCTATAATTTGTGTGTACTTTCTCCTCAGATAGCACTAACTCATAATCCAAATATTAATCAGTCATTTCTGTATTGTAGAATTTGGCAGACATACTTGAACCTTTCTTGAACTAGATTGCTTTCCCTAGCTGCACACACACACAAAAAATATTTTCCAGCTATGCAATACACTGATAATCCCACAAAAGCAATTTAAGCAGCACTAGCAAAGCTGTAGATTAGATTACTTTATAGACTGCCTGCTTCTCATTCTATTAGTTTCTCAAAAATTGAACTTCTCCAAGACCAGTAACAGGATGTTACCTTAGTTTGCACTGAGAACTACTCCTAACTGCTCTATAAACACCTTGCCAAGAAGAATGAGAAGGAACAAAAAGTCTCATCTAAAAGTATCCTCATCTTTTATTTTCTTTTCCCTTTCCTCTTCTTTTCTCTGTGATACAATCTATATAAGGCACTTTCAAGAAACACAAGGAAGTCCCACCAGCTCTTTTGTCTCTCCAAAATATTTTTGTAAAAAGTGACACTAGTTTTCTATGATAAAGATCTATGTCTTAGAGCCTCACAGTAAGGATATAAAGTGGTAATAACTGATGTTTTACTTTATTGCTGCTGAAAAAGATTATTAGAAGTCATATTTCTACCTAATTCATATCAACACATATTTTTTATTGTCTCCTATTGTAAGTATCCAGGCCTGAAGGCACTAATAAGAATATGAAATCTAAAATGAAAAAGACAGGTGTATACCATAGAAAGAGATCTGTGGGAAGATTTGGCTGTGGAAAGTCTGAAAACAAGGAGAGCCATATTGCCAGATACCAAAGCTTAATAAGAATCTATAGTAATTAAGACAATGTTATCAATATCAGAATAATCAGATTGATCTCCATTTTAATGATAACCTAATTTTGTAGTAAAAACACCACTGTAATTCAAAAGAAGTGTCCTTCCAATTAATGATACTAGACCAATTAGATCCATATTTCAAAGATAAACCTTGACTTTTCTCATCACATCGACGTTCAAATTAATTTGAACTGCCTTACATACTTAAAAATGAAATACTGGGGCTAGAGACATGGCTTGGTGGTTAAGAGCTCATACTATTCTTGCAGTAGACCAGAGTTCAGTTTACAGAACCCACTCCAGACAGTTCACAACCACCTGTAATTCCAGATCCAGGGGCTCTGACCCCCTCTTCTGGCCTCAGGGGGCACTTACACTCACATACTCAAACCCATACATAGATACACACATACATTATTAAAAATAAAAAAAGTTTACAGCCACTTTTGAAAGAGATGTAATGAAATGCTTCTTTTAACCATGTTATTAAATTTTTAAAAATCAATAAGTAACAATATTGACCCAAATTTCCTGTTGTTTTCTGTAAAATTTTTTGCATAATAACAAATTCAGCATAAAATGTAATGAGTTATTAATAAATTATAAATACAAGTGAAAAAATAAATTTAAAAAATTAAAAAGTTAATCTTTTTTAAAAACAAATATAAGCTATGGTGTTTCTAAGAGAAAAATCTTTCTGTCCTTATGTGAAAACAAGATTTTTGAGGGGGTGGCTTTTTTTGAGATATGGTCTGCCTATAGCCCCAGATGGCCTGGAACTCATATGTAGTCCAGGCTGGCCTCAATCTCACAAAGATCCATCTGTTCCTGCCTTCCTAGTGCTGGAATTAAAGGCATGCACCACCACTATGCCCAGCCATTTTGGGGTTTGTTTATTGTTCTTTGTTTTTATTGTATGAGTGTTTAGCCTGCATGTATGTGACTGCACCTTGTGCATTCCTTTTGCCTGAGGAGGCCAGAAGATGGCTTTGGATGCCCTGGGACTCGAATTACTGGGTATTAGCCACCATGTGGGTTCTGGGAACCAAACCCAGGTCCTTTGCAAGAGCTGATCCTACTCTTAACCATTGAGCCATCTCTCCAGCCCAAGAAAGCATTTCTTAAAAGCAGAAAGAACTAATAACAAAAAGTTAAATAAACAAATTGCATTTCATTAAATTAAGATTGATCTACTCGCTCTCAAGACAGTTCTCATGTATATAGCCCTTGCTGGCCTGGGACTCACTAGGTAGACCAGGCTAGCCATGAATTCATGGAGATCTGCCTGCCTCTGCCTCGTGAGTACAGATCAAAAACATCATTAAAAACAGTGGTAGAATGCCTTCCTAGCATTCAGAAAACTCTAAGTGGTTCTATGCCTAGCACCACAAAAATTAATTAATAGAGGGCAAAATCATGTGAAGTGCATACAATCAAAAACTAGATTCATAGCCATAATATGAAAATGTTTACCAGTTAATAAGAAAATTATTAATAGGATGAAAACAAGGGTACCCAGATTTCAAAAAATATGTTCAACTTAAGTATTTTCAAGGAAAATTAAATTGAGATAATACTACACATCTGCCAAAGTGGCAGAAACTGAAAAAACTGACAATACCAAGTATCTATTAGTATGTAAAGCAACTGGAATTTGTGTGCAATACTGGTGAAAATTTAAATTAGAACAGCTATTATTTAGCAAAATCTTTTAAAGCTGGGAATGCATACCTCCTAGGCCAAATAATCCTGTCTGTATAGCCCATAATATATCCCATAGATTTGAATTTTTGTGCTTATAAATCATGTATAAGAATGTTCATAAGTCAGGCATGGTGGTGCACGCGTTTAATCCCAGCACTCAGGAGGTGGAGGCAGGCGAATCTCTCTGAGTTCAATGCCAGCCTGGTCTACATAATGAGTTCCAGGCCAGCAGGGGCTACAGGGAGATTTGGTCTCAAAACAAAAGAATGTTCATAGATGTTTTAATCAGAACATTAAAAACAACTCAAATGTCCATCAACACAAGAGGTTGTATAAAAAGGGATATGTTCATGTAATAGGATAAAATAGCAATGAAAAATGGTGAACTATGTTTATTAGCAGTATGCAATGCATTTCACAGATATAATGTTAAAGAACCTAGACATAAAAACTTATATTCTATTTTATTGTCTGAAAGTGAAGAATAGGTATAATTGCCTATAAGAATGGTATCAGAATAGTGACTGCATTTTAGGTGAGTGAATACTGACAGTAAGGGCATTTGATGAAGCTTCCTAGTGTACCGAAATCTGGGAAATGACTTTGTTATGTTGACATATGAGCAAAATTGAATTGTTCCCTTAAAACTAACACTTTGGGTATAGCTAAAGTAGGAGGATTGTGAGTGTGAGACCAACCTGGGCTATATAACAAATTCCAGATAATCTGGATCTGGATTACATAGGAAGATGCTAACTTTAAAAACAAAACAAAAACCTTACACACTTCTGATAGGCAAAAGGAAGATAAATCTTGACAGAAAAAAAGCGGATAGGAATGTAAAGTGACTATAAGCTTAATAATTTGGCAGTTATGAAAACTGAACGATGGGGCCTGAAGAGATGAGTCAGCAGTTAAAAACACTGTCTACTCTTGCAGAAGATTCGGGTTCAGTTCCTAACCTTCTGTAAGTCCCAATTCCAGGAGATCTAATGCCTCTTCTTACCTACATTACATAAACAATTCTGGTAGATATTTAAAGTATAAGATTTAGCACCAAAAGACCACTTTTACTCAGTTTGTAAATGTCTCATGACAATGCATGGACTAGATACTAAAGATGCATTGGTAAACAAGATTAATATGGTTCCCATCCTTAAAAGCTCCTCATTTTCATGAAGGTGGACAAGCTTTAAGCATACAAATTAATAAGCTCTTTTAGGGAAAGTATGGGTTACTGAGCAAGTTTATAACAAAGAGACCTGATTTAGTCTAGATAGTAGCAAAATTTCCCTATAGAAGCAATAATCAATCAAACTGAGTTCTAAAAATTGAATATAAATGACTAACTTGGCAGTCAGTTAAGAACACTGACTGTTCTTCCAGAGGACCTGGGTTCAGTTCCCAGAATCCATCTGGTGACTAACAACCATCTGAAACTCTAAGTCCAGGGGAGCCAACACCCCTCTTCTGGCCTCCATGATATTAGGTGCATTTATGTACACACAGGCAAGACACATACACATAAAACAAATAATTTTTTTAATTTTAAAGAAAAAAAAAGCTAAGATAAGTGGAGGGAAGTGATTATTTCAGGCAAGCAAAGAATGAGAAAGCAGTTTACTGGTAACGAAGAAAAGGAAAGACATAGTGACATGGCACAAGTTTGGGAAAGTAAACAGGGACCAGATTGTCTTGAAAGATTTCAGAGCAAGGCTTGTCAAACTATCGATTTTCTAACTGAAAAGAGGGAGATAACTAGGTAGGCAAAGTTCTAAAACTGCATAAATATATAGATCAGCTTCTTATGTATATGGGAGGGTCACTGAGTGAGGTTAGGTTTTTGGTTTCCAAATGAGAAACTAGAGTCATAGCTTCTCCAAAAGTAGTAGAGATTGAAACAGAAGGGGGAATAACAACTTCAAATCTTAATTTGGAAAACCTAATAATTTTAGAAATATTAGATAACAACAGGGGCATGGGGTCCAAGGAGGTTCCGATGGCACTAGTGGAACATTTTTCCAGGGTCTGTATTAATAAAATCCTAAATTTTATTTGTTTAAAAAAAATGTAAAAATTTTAAGTCAACTAACAAGAGTTTTATAGATGGTAAAGACAGGCTATTTGATTTTGTTATTGGATTTTGTTTAGTATTTTTTGAACTACTAAAATTAAGTCCCTTCTTATGGGTAGCAAATTAGCAATATTTAACAAAATACTAGAAACCAAGCTAGTTCTTGCCCTTTTTAAAGACATTTTTTTTTCCAGAGCTGAGGGCTGAACCCATGGCCTTGCACTTGCTAAGCAAGTGCTCTACCACTGAGCTAAATCCCCAACCCCTGAAGACATTACTTTTAAATACCACAAGATAGATATCCTTCACAATATTTCTTTAATAACATAAGGATTGCCTGAGAGTTTACCAGGAAGTCAGCTTACTTTATAGCCCTTCTCCAAGTTTTTCTTCTGACTCACAGAACAAGGAAAATGACTCCAGGAATTACTTTTTCATAGACGTTTCATTTTATGTGTGTTTAAGACAAGGCAATTGGAGTTGGAGAGGTAGCTCAGTGATTTTTGTGCACTGCTCTTATAGAGGACATTATTTTGCTTCCTAGCACCCACGTCAGGCAGCTCACAACTACCTGTAACTCCATCTCTAGGGGATCAGATGCATCTCTAGCCTCTTCAGGCACCTGCACTCGTGTATGTGTGTGTGTGTGTGTGTGTGTGTGTGTGTACAAACAATTAAATTAAAAATAATAAAAAGAAATCTTTTTTTAAGGGGAGTGCAATTAATTATACGTGTGAATGCTTTATGTCATTAGAACTGAAATCTGTTCTTCAGCCCTAGTTGAGAAAGCTTTTAGGGCATCCAAAGTACGTTTACTTTTATGTTCATTCTTCATTTAAGTGTTTAATACAAATTCCTAGAAATATAATATTAGCATTTTACATGAAGTTCTGAAAATAATGATTTATTTCTGAAAATGTGCACATCACTTATTCATACAACCAAACTAGCAAGGGAATTCCTCCATATTGTTTTATTTTGCAAAGCACTTTGGAAGACAACTTTAGTAAAGATCTAATACTAAAACCATGAACACTTTTTGTTGTTTCTGGCAACAAGAATAAAAGTAGATAAAGAGAATATCTTAGGTTATATCATAGATTACCTATTTCATTTTAAAGTATTGGGAAAAGTGTTGCAAAAAAATTTCAATCTTTCTGTTTTCACTAAATTATATTACAGATTAAGTCTTCAGTTGTAAAATTATAAACTTAATTTCTAAAATAGATATCTCATCTAAACATTTCTAAATCTCATACAACCCAATGAATTACTCCTTTTGTATGCAACATTGATCAGTATAGCACCTAGAATACTGAATGGAGAGTTGACTTTGTTCCTTTTATTCCTTAGATCAATACAATGGAACATCAATTTTCAATAAAAGAACATGGGTTTGAAGTTCAGTTGAGAGAGATGGAAGACAGTAATCGTAATTCTGTTGTTGAACTGAGGCATCTCTTGTCAACTCAACAGAAGGCAGCCAATAAGTGGAAAGAAGAAATGAAGAAACTTACTGAAAGTGCAGAAATTAGGATCAGCAATCTAAAGTAGGTCCACTATTAATAGTTATTGACAATTAATGTTTTACAGACCAGCAATCTAAAGTAAGTCCACTATTAGTAATTGTTTAACAATTGATGCTTTATAGGAGAAATTATTTAAACATGCAGTTTAATGTTTTATTCTAAATCTTTTTGTAAAAATGTATAATTCTGGGGGCTGGGATGATAGCTCTGTGTGATGGTTTGAATGAGAATGTCCCCCATAAGCTCCAGGTATTAGGACATTTTGTCCCCACATTGTGGTGCTGTTTTGGGAGGTTTTAGGAGGTGTGGCTATCCTGGAGGAAGAACATCACTGGGGGTGGGCTTACAGAGTTCTTAAGCCTTGCCAGATCTCTAGTTGTCCTCTTGCTTCCTGTGACTGTGTGATGATGTGAGAGCTTCACTTCTGCTGCTCCTGGTCCAGCCACCTCCAGCCACCATGCCTCCCTGCCATGATGGACTATTTGAGCAATGGCCTGTAGATGATGTAATTAGGCCAATGTAAGTGAGCAGATGAAGAAAACAGTATTGAGGTAGGACCAAAGATCACCTGGGCAGACTAGGGAGACATCTCAGTTGATAAAGCCCTTGCCATACAAGCATAAATCAGGACCTCAGATTGAGTCCCAGAACCCACCTAAAAATCCAGACACAGTAACATATTTTTGTAACCTTTTAACTGACAAGATGGGGCTAGGTGGATCCCTGGGGATGGCTAGCTGGCAGCCTGGCATAATCAGCATGCTCAAGGATGAAATATCATATCTCAAAAATCAAGGTAGATGACACCTGAGGAATGCCACCTAAGGGTACCCTCTGGCCTGCAAACACATATGCACCTGCGAGCACACAAACATAAACAAAGACATACACACTATAAAAAAGTCTTAAATCTGGATATTATGTTTTTATTCAGAAAATATTTATTAAACTAATATAAAAAACTAATATAAAATATTAAACATGGGGCTGGAGAGGTGACTTGGTGGGTAAAATGCTTTCTGTACAATCATATCAAGAGCCTGAGTTCAGATCCCCAATCCCCAACACCAAGTAAATAGTTGAGCATGGTGGTGTAGGCCTATAATACTGATACTGGGAAGCAGGGATAGGAGGATCCCAGGGCTTGTCCCGCCAGCCAGCCTAGCCAAATCTGTGAACTCCAGGTTCACTGAGCGATCTTGTCTCAAAATTTAATATGTAGAGTGATAAGGAAGACACCAGACATTGGCATCTGACCTCTGCATATACACAGACCTATACACAAGTGTACACGGGTCTCTCTCTCTCTCTCTCTCTCTCTCTCTTACAGTGGTTTTGGGAAGACACAGAAGTATAGAATGTTACATATATGTGTAGCATATGTAGCATTCAGACTCTGACCTATAAGGCCTAAAATGATTACTCTTTGGCCTTTTAAAAATGTTTTCTAGGACCAGCATTATGGTTCAGCAGGTAAAGGTGCTTGCCACCCAAACCTAGCAACCTGAGTTTGATCCCCTGAATCCACATAAATAAGCAAAGAGAAAACTGACTTCACAGAGTTGTCCTCTGTGAAGCATGCTGTCTGTGGCATGCATGCCCCTTCCCATACAAACACATCATACACTCACACAAACAATTATAATTTTTTTCAGTGTATGTTTTTATTGAATTTTTGTGTACTTCATTCCAAACATCTTAATCATCTTTATACCCCCTCTGCATCTACATCCCCCATAACAACCCCACTGGATGTCATGCATTCTGTTATATATGGTAAGGCCTGTCTGGCCAAGGATTTGTACCCAGATATCCCCTCGGTGCAAGTTCATCTACTGGAGTCTAGTCAGCCTATCTAGAGTCACTCCCTTGAAGAAAATCAACTCTCCCTCACCCAGCAGTAATAGGTGCCGATATTCTTCAACTAAGGTTGGAGCCTGCTTCCCAATTCCCCATTCAATGCTGGGGTTTTGTCTGATTGAGTTTGTATAGGTCTTGTACATGCTGACACCATTGCTGTAAGTTCATATGTACAAGGTCCCAGCTACCTGGAAAACTCTGTTTCCTTATGATTATGCACCAGTCCTGGCTCTTGGTATCTTTCTACCCCCTCTTCTACAATGGTTCGTGAGCCGTGGGTGGGTGAGGATTAATATAGGAGTTCTATCCAGGGTCTCACACTCTGTGTTCTCTTATTCTCTACACTTTGATCAGCTGTGGTCTTCTGTATTCACTGCCCTCTGTTGCATAAGGAAACTTCCTCTATGTTCCATGACCCTTAGGTGTAGAGCTTCCATTGTAGATGTGTCACTTAGGACTAGGCATCTCTTAGAAACTTATTTTATATGTATAACCAGTTGTCAAACTCTATAATAGTCTCCATCTGTTGAAAAAAGAAGTTCTTTGATGAGTGGTGAATGGTATGCTTGAAATACAAGGGTCTATATTTAGCATACAGTAGGAAATTGCATTTGTCTAGGGATGTGACAGAGGTAGGGTGACAGAGGTATGACCTCTCCAGCCATGTGTATTTGACTAAGTTTATAGTGCCACCCATGAGATCCCTCCCATTGAGAGAGCTTTAGGTCTTATTAGATAGCTGTTGATTACTCCAAAGATAAAATACCATGACTTAACCACTATAGTTTGTTGTGCCAGTCATTGTGGTTATTAGCCTTTAAAACTGAGGTTGGACCACTGATTGATTTTCTCCCTTAACAGCTTGCATAGTGTCCTCCAAAACTATGGGAGCTAGTCTTCAGGGAGGAGACTTCCAGGTCAGTTCCTGCTCCATTACTCCAAGTCCTGTGTCTGAAGTATGTCCTCTTTACAGCAATAGGGTCTTACCTTCAAGTTCTGAGAGGTAATCAAGGGCTGCGACAATAACCTGTTATTTTAGGAGTCTCTAGGATTACCTGAAAGGAGGTTTCTTCTCTCTAGCTCTGTGTTTCTTGTTATATAGCCTTCAGATATACACATGCACTCATGTTCAGGTATTTTATGTGAAATTTTCAGTAGGTTTTTGAGCTAATACATTTCCCTTTGGCTTTTCACACCACCTAAGCTTTATTTATCTCTATCTCTCCCTGTCTAACCTCCCTCCTCCCTCCCCAGCTAAAGTACCCCTATTTTCTCCTTGATAACACTCCTATTATTGCCCCCTCTTGAGCTCCTTCTTTCCCTTTTCCCCCCATGGTTCCTTCCCTCCTCCCTTCCCAGTTGAATAACCCCATTTTCCCCTATTTCCCACTTGGTAACATCTATCTCCTACCATCCCCCTCTCTCAGGTTCTTTCCTTCCCTTACTTCAATGGTTCCTTTCCATTTTCCTGGCTTTTGCCAGGATTTGGTGATAAGGTCCACAAATGAGAAAAAACATGTATCACTGTTTTTCTGAGTCTGTGTTACTTCAGATAAATTTTTTAAAAGAAAAATTTTTGGTTGTTTTTTTGTTTTGTTTTTTATTTTTTCTTTTTATCAGACTTCTATGAATTTCATATATTTTGATTATGTTTAGATTCCCTCCCATATCTGCACCCTTCCTTACTAGCTAGCCCCTTACCAAGTTTCCTGCACTCTAATATATAAATATATATCCTATAGAATCAGGTTTGTGTCCCCAGATGCCTTTCAGTGTGGGTTCATTCACTGGAGCCTAGTCAACCTACCGAGTATCTCACCCTTAAACAAGACATCTCCCCTCCCAAGTCGTCATCAGTTGCCATCAGTTCGTCAGGTGGGGTTGGGGTTTCTTACCCACTTCCCACATCTATGCTGGGGTTTTGTCTAGCTTGAGTTTACACAGAATTTGTGTATGCTGTCACCATTGCTCTGCATTCATATGAGTAGCTGCCCAGCTGTCTGGAAAACTTTTCTTGTAGTCATCCATCTCTTTAGTGTTTTAATAGTGTTTTGGTCTTATTTTAATAGGTTGATTAATCTAATTTAGTGTTCCTTTACTGGTCCAAACATGCTCTTACAAATGCCTTTTTTCACTGTGTTAATGCTTAAACTTAACTGGTCAAAATGCAGAGAGTAAGTGTCTATAGAGTAGTCAGCCACAAATGGTACATCTGTATGACACCCTGTCCCCACAAGGATCAGGGAACAATACAAAAAGATTTTAAGAACTTGTGGTGATTTGAATGAGAATGCTCCCCCCCAGCCCTCCATAGGCTCCAAGTATTTGAGCATTTTGTTCCCAGTTGATTCTGCTGTTTTGGGAGGTTTTAGAAGGTGTGGCCATGCTGGAAGAAGCACATCACTAGGGGTGGGCTTACAGAGTTCGTAAGCCTTGCCAGCCTTGCTCTCTGTTTCCTGTGAGTGCCTGAAGATATGACACCTTAGCTTCTGCTCCTATGCCAGCCCCTCTGCTGCTATGCCTCCCCACCATGATGGACTCTTGCCCCTTTGGAACCATAAACTAAATAAACTTTTCTTGACCTGGGTTCGAATCCCAGCACCCACATGGCAGCTAACAACTGTCTGTAACTCCAGTCCCAGGGGATCTGACAGTCTCTTCCATCCTCCACAGGCATTGCACGACACGGGTGCACTTACCTACATGCAGACAATACATGCATACACATAAAATAAAAATAATTTTTTAAAAATATTAAAAAATAAATAAGCCAGGCGTGGTGGTGCATGCCTTTAATCCCAGCACTTGGGAGGCA